CAAGGCATCTGCGTGCTGAGAGCAGGCAAGGCCCTAAACCCTAAGCCTTGGCAACAACAACAACAACAACTACTACTACTACTACTCCTACTACTACTACTACTACTACTACTACTACTACTACTACTGAATACTATGACCAGTTATATAACAAGTTTCTGAACGCCAACCGCCTGCGCCCACACCCCTTCTTTCCGAGGTCCAGCTTTGGAAGAATGTTGGGCCAGCTGGGGCTCGGTCGGTCGGGCTCCGGCTATTGCGGCAGTGGGCACGAGGCATCAGGGGAGTTTCATGGAGTGGGTTCCTCTGAGGCTCTGATCAAGGTTTTCTATAAGGGTCTATAAGGGGAACCCATAGTAGAGGGAGCCGGAGCACTGGATCTCTAAGGTTAAGGTGTATGTGCTGGCTGTCGGAGGGCTTCTGCTGGGTTCAAAACGCCTGTGCAATCCTCTGACCTAGCAACCCAACTCTCAAGTTATGGTTCAAGCTGAACGCTTTCTGGAAATCCGTCAACTGCACGTGTATGATGCTATCATCAAGAACGGGCTGCTGTATGGACTTGAAGCTGTACATCGGACACCGGCCATGCACAGAAGAGCTAATGCATTCGCTTGCTGAAGATACCACTTGTGTAAACAGAGCAAATACGAATGCAAGAGTCATTGAGAAAGCTAATGCGGAAATACGTGGACAAAACGAGGTAGAAATCTTCTCGGGACTTTGATGCCGGGCTGGGCGTATTCTGCGCACGCCCCAACAAAACCCTTTACGCCAAGCGCAGATGTTTCCACATTGGCAGGGGGAGAGTAGGGGGACCTGGGCAAACTTTGTTGTTCTACACGAACAAGTTCATTTGGAAAACATACACGGCGCGTTCCTTTGCACACAAACAGGCGAAACCAGTATATACACATATGCAGACAACCGCCAGTTTTCAAGCCTCCCCATGTGTCCACTATCTCACCATCATGCCAAGAGAGGCGGGAGACTATGGCAATCAGAAAAGAACCCCAACCCAACTTCCACGTGTGCTCAGGACCTTTGGGAGTAGTTGCGCAGCTGGAACTTGAAAACTGGAACTTGAAAACTGGAGGATCAAACTCTCTGATCAGTGTTACTGTCTTGCGAAGGCGACACCAAGCAATATAGAGACCTTAGTGATTAGAACACGGTTCTGGGGCCCAGTATACTATAATCATAATCAGGAACCCCAAGCCCTATTCTAATTGTTAAGGCCCCTACATTACCTGCAATCGCAGTGGCCTGGACAACGGTCCGTAAGCAGTTGACCTCCGTGCTAGCCGACTGAGGAAGCAAGCAGGCACACAAGGTGCTAAAAGAAAACCACAGCCCCAAACACAACTTCACTAAAACCAATGACAGGTATGGACGTTGTAGTTTGCCTCACGGACAGCGATGCCGCTCCCGATCCGGGCTGGACGGAGGTGTGGCGCTCTGGGCATTCTGATTTCGAACGATCCCCGAATCCGGAAGCTCCTAAACCCCTAAGAGATCTTGCCTGTAGTGTCCAGTGTTTAAGTTAGGTTCAGGGTGTAAGGTCCAGGGCTGAGGCTTCAAGGTTTGGCAACTTGTGTCTAAGGTCTAACAGAAGCTTGGGGTATACGGACCAGAGTTTAGGAGGTTCGGTTGAGGTCTAGGGTTTCACCCAGACGCAGACTCAGCATCAAACGGCACCATTTCGAAGAGCTCTGACATCGTCTTTCCAGGTGTCTGGCCCCTATAAAACAGAGATTACCACTGAAGTTTCTCTGGATTCCCTATCATTGCTGTACTCTAATGGACCCCAAGGCCCCAAGACCTTATTCCATTCATTTGTGAAAGGCTCCTATATATTATTAGGTTCACGGTGTCTCGGTTTGGACTTTGGGTCTTCTGTCCTTTGCAAGCGCCCCGCGATGGCAGAGCCTGTATGATCTTAGTAGAATCTACACACCCAATCCCTATGGGCCCCCATATTCAACCTTTTCTTATTGACCCTTACTGAAGCGTTACAGAAACCCTTTAAATTGTTATATACAGCTATTGCGCAGATTTCGGAGGCCGCTTTTAATTCGGTTAGCGGAAGTGCGGTGAGCTGAACGGCTTTGGGGGATATTAACGACACTATCAGCTACCACTGAACCTAAAAACACAGGATTGCTAATTTATTCAGGCTACCCTCGAGATCCCTAGAGGAATCAACGTACTGCTTCACCAGCTATCTGGGATCTTCGCCGGTCTAATTTGTACCTTGACTATACTCCAGGTATTAAAGAACATAATTCCGACAGGTTTTTTTGCTACGAAGCCCCGACCGAAATCTCGTGTTCCCCTCAGGCGATGCTGAAGGCTCAGAACATGAGGCTCGAGTTGGCCTAGGGCTTGGTGTTTAGGGTTTAGATTTTAGTTTAGGGTTTGGGGTCATGCATGCGAACCATTGGAAAACCGCTGGACCCTTAATCTCTTCTCTTGTCAGCAGCAAGATCAAAGTTCGTGGTTTACATTGTTCTGCTGGACCCGTATCGGGTGCTTATGCTGACATACATGTTGCTTGAAGCTTAAGTTCAAGCTCCCTAGAGTTTGAGGTTTTCATATATTCCATCCCAATCTCGCGACTCTTGACAATCGTCCAAATTAGCAGAGCTGCAGAATCAGCAAGCCAATATAATCAACAATGTCGACAGGCTGTTGCTGCCCTGGCATAGATGTGCAATCGTAAGAGCCCATAGTCTGGCTGCAACTGCCGTAAGTACCTTTTTCTTGCGTTCTTGCGTTCTGCGGCAGTCTGAAGCCTGGGATTCGTTTCGTGCGAAGCTTGAAGCTCGTTCGTGGGATGGGGTCAAGCCATCAAGGAGCGTTGCCCAGTGCCACCCGCATGGACCGGTGTCTGGTGGAACGAGCATCTCTTTGCCGACATGATCTACGACGACAACGGCTGGGGATCCGACCTCTACTGGGCCCAAGACAAGTGCCCATAGCGTTGAAGTCGTCTCAACATGCTTCGCGGCCCCTACGTCTAGTCCAAGGCCGTCCGAAGTCGGCACGAAGCCCACCGGTGCTCCGAGCAAAATGTCCGAATCCAAGCCTGATCTCCCGACCGTCGCTCTCCGCCTCTTTGCATCCGAATACAAGGTGACAAAGTCAAGTGCTTGTGCATGTCGGGTTGGCCTCCAGGCTCCCTAAACTTCTAAACATTCTGCAAGCTCAAGGGACTTCCATTGCAATGCGATCTCCGATACGGGGGTCCCAGATCAAGATAATCGACCGCTACAGCTTGTGGCAACCATGCTTTTAATGACAACTTCACTTGCACCAGCACGTCAGGTTATATGATGCTCAGCCGACTGGTTGTTGCTGCCATTGCTGCATTCGTTCGCTTGTAAGCGACTACTGTGCCTACCTTTCCCGCTTGTGCACGACTTCTGTGTTTAAAAGTCGGCTGCTCGGTTTCAGCTTGGACATTTGTACTAGTCACTAGTCTTGGCGTTTAATTCTTAATACTTAATACACCAGTATTTTTCCTACGGCCGGCAGTGTTGAGTCTCACTGTTAGTGCTTCTGTTGCTAGTGCGTTGCCGATGCAACTTTCCGTTTGCTTGTGGGACAACTACTTGTCATGATGGTTGTTGCACGTAATGGTTACTACGGCTATCAGTATTGTCATGATTACGGCGATTAGTTGCAGTATTATTCTTGTCATTGCTATTGCTAGGATGATTTTCATTTCTTGTATACACTATTTTTCTACTAGTGCTGCGGGATCACCTTCAAGCCGTCGCTGTGCAGTCCCGGCATCGTCTCGGGCCCCACAATCTCGGTGGATAGAAGCGGCTCGGCTGCCGTAGGATGCGGACGGCCTGGTCAGACTTGGGGCTTAGGGTCTGGGATTCATGAGTGGGTGCAGCATGGTCGAACTAGTCTACTATCTGGTAACTTGTACCCCTCACTTGACATATCTCCCCAAAGCATGTCTCGATTATGACACGGCCCTACATCATTAAGGTTCACTTCGGCAGAGGACACTTTCGAAGAACTACGAAAGCCTTTTTGCGGGTCTAGGAATGGGATATTTTCATCCCTGCCTGAAGTATTTCAGCGTTTAGGGTTTAGGGTTTAAGGTTTAGCGTTTAGGGTTTAGGGTTCAGGGTTTAGGGTTTAGGGAGGATACTTATGCAGGCAGCAGCCTGAGTTCTTTTCCTACGGAAAGCACCTTGATTGCCCTGAAAGCTGTCAGCTGAGCGCAAACTCCGCGGATTCATGTAGCTCTTGCTTACGACTGCTGTATCATGTTCAGTCTCCACAACCCTCATGACGGTTTCGGGCTCAGGGGTCTCGGTTGACGCTAGAAAGGCGTGATTCCAGGCGCCAGTGGACAAGTCCCGACTAATACGGAAGCCAGAATAAGCAAAAAGTTAGAATATTCTCAGTATTCAAGGTTATTAGCAATAGTAGATCCCAAAACCCCAAAATAATGTTAGGGCCACTATATTATCTTCATTCCATCAGCGGTTCGGTCTGGGAAGGTGGCCTCGTGAGGTTTGCAGTAGGCTTCGGGTTGGGTTCAGTATTTTGAGGATTCCTTATTATAACTATAGTATACAATCCCCCAAAACCCTATTCTAATTATTAAGGCCCTTACCTGACATTCTGCAGCATCGCCGTCGAGGACTCAGCAGAGATCAGCAAACACGAACATCGCCTAGCCTCAGATTCCACGTCTATTGAACACGTGGGGACAAGGCCACACCGGCCGCTTCCACGACCACTTCGGCAACCTCAATGGTCGTGTCCTGCCTGCAAGCTGAGAGAACCCCNNCCCCCCCCCCCCCCCCAGATTAGGACGTAGATGACCCCCAGCCAGAAACTCAGAAGTTGAGGGTGAAAAGACACGGCTTCAGGGACAACGGTTGATCGGGTTCAAGGTTGAAGACACCAGGAGTATCTCCACAGGGGCAGCCTGTAGGTCGAAGTCCTTGCAGAAATCGCGTTCTTTTTGTTTTGTCCTATCCATTCCCATGTGTTGATCTGCAGGGGGCTTGAGGCAACGTGACACACGGGAGCATCCTTTCAGGTTGCACATGAAGGCTGCGATGTCTGTGGCTTTAAATTTGACCTCAAGGAAATACTTCCCCTTGAGTCGCGCCCTGGTGCGTCGTTTCGCTGACACTAAACCCCAGACACTTACTCCGAAACTCGAGACTCCATAAGCGAAGCCCAAAGCCTTAAGGCCGACACCCCAATCTACCAACCAGAAATCCAGAACCTCACGAGGAATATATAGCCAGATGTCGGTCCGGGATGTAGTTTCGAGGCCTTGAGTTGAGGAGTCGTATACGGATGGCTCATGCCTCTGATAGAACAGTGTTGCTCTGTAGTCTATGATTAGGCATTTACACTGAAATTCACAACAGCCGGGGTCAGTTCTATGAAATGAAAGTCGGTGGCACTTTCGGGTGTTGGTTCGGTCAAGCTTTGCAGTATGCCTTCTACACTTAGCGGTTTAAGCTTAGCTCTTGAACCATCGAAACACCATGTTAGGGTTTGATATTTTGAGGGTTTAGCGCTTTAGCCTGCATGGCTTCAGGGTTGTAGTCTTTAAGGTACGCTACTGCCCCAAATATCCAGAAGGATGGACCTGGGACGACGAGAAGGATGTGCTGCTCTACGGCTGCTCCTCGATCCTGCTGAAGTCGCATTTGGGTTTAGGCGGTTTCGATTCTAGGGTTTCAGGATGTTTCAGGCTTGGGCCTCTGGGTTTCGGGTTTAGGGTTTAGGCTTTCGTGAGAGTGTTCCTTGAGCTTTCGGGTCTTGACCCCGAAGCTTGAGGAGTTCAATAGCTACTGTTCCAAGGTGTGAAAGGATCCAGAGGCCAGGAACCTAGCTGCGGCATGGCAAGAGGCTTCGGAATCCCAAGATGCAGTTGGACCTGATCCTGCTGTAATCCCCTGCGCTTGCCTGGAAGGTACCTATCAAACGAAAGGGACATTTGCTTATATCCTTTTTTAGAGGAGCATTGGTTACTCTCGGTAGACCTCGATCTGAAATAGGAAAACCTCTGGTATCTGCCATAACCAGGCACATGCAATTTCAGTGTCGATCTGAACTCCATCGGCGATGTGCCCTGGCGGCAGGGCCAGGTTGCAGTCTAGACCTTGGGCTCCGGGCTGCTTCCGGGGCTTCTTTAAATTGGGGTCCCTGTTTAGATACTTAAATCGTACGGAACCCTGAAAAAACGGACCCTAAAAGGAACACTTTGCAGGGTTTTGGACATGTCCTATAGGTCAGATATGGTAGAAGACTGGAAAGTGTCGCCTCGTCCTAGCCTGGCTCACAAAAGTGTTCCCAACTCTCTCAACAATTTCGAAGTTTGCAGTTTCTCTTTAGGGATCCAATCGGAGAATGATGGCCGGCTCCCCACATAAACTCGTGTCCTCAAGGCTCTTCGGGGAGTTTGTTGCAGACTCTGCGGTTGGTGGGCCGGTTTACGCAGGGTCTCAGAAGAAGTTCCGCGTCGGGGCTTTCGCGTCTTCGAAGCTTTAGGGCCCCTGAAAGTAGTAGGGTTTCAGGTTCAGGGTCCGTCTGCATCACAGGTGCCGGCAGATTCTTAAACCTGTGAGCATACGTGGCTCCCTCAGCCACAGGCTATAGGTGTTCAGGTACTCAGAGCTCAGCAGCGTAACGACCCGAAGCCCGATCGCATCAGGCGGAGTTCGACCCGATCTTCTCGCGCCGCCTGGTATCAACCCATGGTCCAGCATTAGGTATTCTCAGGGTATAGGGGTTAGCATCAGGGAATTGGGGTTGAGGGTTTTGGGGGGTTAGGGGAAAGAGTTGAGCTTGTTCGAGGTTCAGAGTAGTCTATTCGGGTAAGGCGAGAAGAGGGGGAGCCAATGATGAGGGTTTTGGAGCTTGAGGCACGGATTCGCGCTTTGGGCATGAGGGTTCAAGATTTATTTCGGCATGAGGGTTTAAGGGCTCTCTCAGAGCCTCGAGCTTACGGGGACTTGAAGCGTTATTCTTAACGCTCCCACCTCAACCATCGCGTGTCTACTGAAACGGGCCTGCTTTAATCCATACTCCCCGAGCATGGAAGCCATACCTTAAGTCTTAAGTGCCTCAAGTCGAATCACTGAGCTTGATCCAAGGCAGCCTGAACTCTGGAACCCTGTAGACATATACTAATACTAGAGTATACCATAACAACATATACTGTTATTTGATAAAGAACAGGATGGAAAAGCAACATGCTGCAGCAGAATGGAATATGATACTCCCAAAGCACTAAAGCTCTCAAGCTCTATCACATCCACATGCTGTCAAAGAAGACCTCGGCGCGCTCTCTGCAATAAGTATGGTAGCGAGGATCCTACTAGTCGAAGGCTTTGTTGGGGTCCCTTGTTGACAGAGGCTGCTATATTTCTACGGTATCCTTCTCATGAAGGTGCAGCACTCGACTCCAAGCGCACCAAAAACCTAAGCCCCACTAGGGTCTCAAAGCCCAAAATCCGGCTCTGACTTTGCCCCTACACCCTAAAACCTAAACCCTAAAATCCTAAAGCCGAAACCCTCAAACCTAGACCCTACAGCCTAAAGCCGAAACCCCAAGTCACAAAGCCTAAACCCCAAAGCTTGGGCTGGGTCTGAGTCCCTAAACCCTAAACCCTAAACCCTAGACCCCAAACCCCTAGACCCCTAAACCCCTAAACCCTAAACCCTTTGGGTCAGGCCCGGGGTTCGAAGACATCGAATTCTGCTGGCGCCTGCGAGAAGAGCGAGGCGTCTACACCAGGCAGGGCACAGGGTTGAGGCTCCCGAAGTATTTTTGTTCTACTATATAGAGTTTAGGGTTTGGGGTTTAGGGTCTATATAGACTGTACCGTATTATACTATACCATAATACTGTATTATTCCAAACTGTATCATATCATCCTAAGGAAGCCACACAGTTGGAACATCATTGTCCTCATGCCCATAAAGGAAAGTATAGGGAATCCTGGCACTAATCATCCTTATCCATATTCCAACTGTCCGGGGGTCACTTTAAGGTCTATGTGCCAAGCCCTAAATCCGAAACCCGGTGGAAAAGGATCCCGGGTCGTTCGGTTGTCTTGCTTGTCAGGGTTGCAGCTTGCGACCTCTTACGGGGTTTTCCGACTTGCATGAAGGTTGCGAGATGTGATGTCAGTGCCTCCGGGTGTTTCGAGGCAACATCGGGGTTTCGGTCTTGATGTAGGTTTGGTACCGAATCTCCAGGTATTGCGACGATGCCAAGATGTTCCATCAGTACGATCGCGGCCCTGTTGGGTTGTACAAGCAGTTCTGGAAGTATGGGCACACTGCTCCTTGGTACCTTTGTACCGCTTTTTCCAAGATAATTCCGCTACCCCGGAGAATGGGATAGGTCCTCGTCCCCGGACTTTGCCCGGCTTCAGGGTTAGATGGCCCTGAAAGCAGAATCATAGAAAAGTCCCGCAAAAAGACAGAGAACCTCTGCAACCCCCGCCATTCCAATCACAGGGACTGAGTTGCGTGACCTTGAAAACTGGTACCTAGCTTACGATAAGGGGCACCATGAGGGCATTACAGGGGTACTCCGAGGGATACTATGAGGGCACCGTAAGAAGCACTACAGGGGTCTATTCTCCTTCCACGAAACTTGATTCAGATTGTTCGGAAACACGGCGCAAGTTTCAACTTCTGATTAGATGCCTGTTGTAGAAGAGCTCGGCTGCAATGATTGTATTGTAAACTCAGGAGCCAATCATGGCCTGGATGCATCCGAAGTTCACTTTCCAGGCTGGCATGGGGTTGTTTTGCTTTTCGTGCTTTTGTTGCGCGCGCGCGGGTGTGTGTGTGTGTGTGTGTGTGTGTCTGTGTGTGTGTGTGTGTGCGTGCGTGCGGCTTGTGCCGACCGTGCCGGGACCAGGGCGACTGTTCTTTCTGCCGACCGATCGGTTTGAGTGTCATGACAATATGCGAACATCTGGCACCTAAACACTCCGAATCACGGAATAAGAGAAACGCTTCATCCTTCAATCCTAAACCCTGAAACCCTACACGCGAGGCCGAATGGTACGCAGCCGAGCCCTACCGTTGGGAACCTAAGCCTTACCCCTTAAGGCAGTCAAGATGAATCCTAGAGCCCCAAACATGCAGGGCTCCCGCCCTGTGACTATGGGCTGGCGAGACCCGCGACGGTCCGAAGTTGCTGGGCTAAACGATGTCAAGATTCAGGTGTTCAGGTTTGGGATCTGAGGTCCCAGAGACTCCAAAACCCTTACTTGAGGAAGATACCTTAAATTCTAATAGGATCCCTAATAATATGATTTAAGGTATATTCCTTAATTTTGGGGTTTTGGAGTCTCTGGGGTTCAAGGCTCTTTCGAAGGTGGATGTTCATCGGTTTTCGACTCCTGCAGAGTTTACGATGATGATTTGGTTTAAATAGGATCCGGTGGGTTTTGTGGACAAGACGGCAAGGCCACCTGGAACCTTCCACCTTTGCAGTCCCTGGGTAGACCCCAAGCCCCCTTGTGAACCTAAACGTGCATTTGCTTCCCACGCTGCGCTTGTAAACAGGCATATTCAGGAGCGTCTGGTATTATTTTCGTGCGCCACGAGCACATGCGAAGACTGAAGTCTATGCCCCTACCTTAGAGGAACCCTTACGTAAACAAAGCCTGGTAGTACCCTGTGAAGGGACCCTCATAGTACCCTTCAGCAGACAGCCTCAAGCCTATACCAGCCGACTTGGTGAGGACACCGGGCCTTCAGCGATGGCGAAGTCGGCAGTACGAGGTCTGGCAACTGCGAGAGTTGGGCTAGTTTACAGCCTAGAGTTCCGATGGGATTCTGCTGGGCTACATGGTCTGCCTTTTTGAACTGCGAGGAGCTATACTCGCCGGAGACTTGCAATGCAGTGTTTTAAGCCCAACACCTGCAAGCCATGTGAAATCGCCTTTGACTCCTCGAGGCCCTTGGCGCGAGGAAAGGAGATCCCCGCAACTCCAATCGCAAGGCCGACTTTGCAACTTCCTGCTCTCCAGGTTTGGATGGCATCGTGCGGTTTCTGAAGTGGCAAACAAAGTCAGAGCCGCCACCTGGCTTCGCAGCTGTGATCTCGGGTCTGTGAAAACCCTAAACTCCAAAATGGGTGAGACAAAATCCCGTGGTTCAGGGGGATCCGAGGCTCTGTGCAGAGCTTGACAATCCAGTCATGCCTGTGTTTAGGAGCTCAGGGTGGTTGCGTGCAAGGGTTTGGAGACTTGACACGGCATGTTTCCGTATGAGGGGGTAGAGAAAGAGAGAGCTTTGCAAGCCTGGCGAAAGAAAGTTGCAAAGCTGCAGGGGACTTTGGCGTGCTTCTCACCCAGACCATCCGATATCGAAACATATGAATCGCTATTGATTTTTCTTAGGCCTAAATAGCAGTAGTTTTTATTTTTCTGTTGCTGTGTTATATATATATATATATCAATACTTGGTGCGGGTTTGGGGGATTTCTAATTTTATGGTGGTTGTTGAGGCTCCAAGGCTCCAAGGCTTGGTTGTTGATTGTTGAGGCCCCAAGGCTCCAAGACTCCAGGCTCATGTCACCTCCAACCTGATGCCGCCATAGGCTCCAGGATCCGAGGCTCCCAGGTACCAAGAGCCCCACGGCTTTACCTGGCGCAGCTGACGAGCAGAGGCGGGCCCGGCGGGGTCTGACGTTGCGTTGCAGGAATTCAAGATTGTCTGACAATTACGGAGTTTCAGTGATATTGCCTTTTTTTCTTAGCATGGAGCGCAGCACAACGACTGCTGCAGCAATTCCTGGCTCTGAGTGGCGCCCTGGCACCTCGGCTCCACGGCTCTCCCCGCCTGACCTCGCATCAGCATGGTCGCTTTGAAGCTCAGGACTGACAGCACCGTTGGAGAGGCGGCTTCCTCGAGCTCGGCCACAGCGGCGGAGGCCCCGACACAGGCCATGATGGCCACGATGATGGTCACGCCCGAGACCTTAACGGGCACAGGCGGCTAGACGTCGGAGTCGGGGGTGTCGGCTGTGGCGGTCAAGGAGACCATGGAGCTCCCCCCCGTAATGCTGTGAATGGTGAAGCCCCGGATCCTGCGCTTCAAAGCCACTGAGATCCAATCCCACTACATGTCATTCTCCTGAATTAAGACAAGAATCTCAGCCCAGCTATTTTGGTGGCGGTTTGTAACTTATTGATTTGACTAAGCTGTAATCAGATGGTTTAAGCGGCTAGTATTTGGACATAGCTTTATCATGATATCACCAATGGCAGTGGCCCGAGGCATTTGCATCAAGCTGCTGAGCTATTGCGGCAGCGCTATGACACGAGTCAGCACTACACTTGGGCGCTGTCTGGTTTCAACGCTTTCAAGAGCTCGTTCTTCAAAGATGGGTCATTTTCAGAAGACTGTGAAATCGTGGCCTGCCCCTTGCCTGTTCCCAGGTTTGTGTCGAAGATATTCTATCAGCACCCCTTAATAACCTCGGCAAAGACAGTATGTGCAACTCAGCCCGCCCAGATTTTCACTGGGATGACAACCAGCTTCTGGGCAAGCTCCAAAACATCGCCAAGCAGATGCCGCCAGCCATGGGCACGCCACCCCAGTTCGCTGTGGCCTCTTGACGAGTAGTAAGTAGTTGAGGTCCCTTCTGTCTTGGAGTTGTTAGCTGAGGTTGTGTAGCAGGGACAAAGTAGCTCAGGTCGCATGCTGTGTCAGAGAGCTACTGGACCAGTTCTTGGTCCACCCTGGGCAGTGCCGGGTTATCCTCTTCCCCTACATAGCCAACGGCGCAGCCCGCGGTTACTACAGCAACCCAACCCAGCACGTTGCAGAAGTCACAGTTGCTTGTATGCCGTGCAGTTGTCAATGTGGGGCGGAAGGCCTGAGCAGTTTCCACGTCGCCAATGCTTCTGTACAGGGGCAGGTTGGGAGGCTTCAAACACCAAACAGCTTTGCACAGCAGTGGCTTGATGAAGACCCGATTGTTGGAAATAATTCATTCAAGTATGCATTTTCTTCAGTAACCTGGGTTCTTGATGGTTCCCTCGCCATTTTCGCGTTAGTCGCGTGGCGGCGTCAAAGGCCCCGATAATGACAGACACACATGTGGTGTAGCCATCTGTGATGCCGTGCGCACTGTGCTCAAGGCTTTCTGTCCTCTGAAACAAGTTTCAGTGGAACCGATTGCCGCAAGTAGCTACTGATCTCTTTGTGAGGTTCAGGCCCGCCTGGCCAGGAGTGCTACAGCCGGACATCCGTGTCAGCTTAGAAAACAGATCCGTCTCTTTGAGCGTCCTCCTTTCGCCTTTAACTTGAGCAAGTTTGCGAGGTGGCTTTACCGGGCTCACGTCGGTGCGTTTGAGCCATCGGTCCACCACCCCTGCAGATGCACCCACCAAACTCTTTAAGGAGCCTTTGTTCCGCTCACCGAGGGGAGTAGGAAACGCTGGTTCCCGAAACCCCTAACCCTAGACTCTAAACCCTACACCCTGGGCTGAGCCAAGCGTCGCTGTATGAAAAGTTGGGGGGCGCGCCCTCTTGAAACCCTAATTCCTAGGCTTTAGGGTTTCGGGCTTGGGGATTGAAGTTGAACTGGCCGAAGGTCTTAACGGGCTTAAGGCTCCTAAGTTGTTCAGGGCTATACAAAGATGTAGGGTCTTAACGTGTAGGCGATCGCGGCCCAACCCTACATCCCAAAGCTTTGAAGGCCACTAACAGTCCTCAATAGGGAAAAAATACGTCCCCCTATTACAGTCCCGATTACTAGGGACTGTCAGTATAAGGGGGAACAGCCCTAAACCCTAAACCCTCAAGCCTAAGCCCTATACTCCAAAGCTTTGAAGGCTAAAAGCCCACCTTTGAAGGATTGTCGCCAGGTTGAAGTCGGTCAACTTCCAGGTCCAAAGGGGTTTAGGGTTTATGGTTTATGGTTTAGGGTTTAGGGTTAGGGTTTAGGAATTAGGGTTAGGGTTTAGGGTTTAGGGTCTAGGGTTTAGGGTTTAGGGTTTAAGGTGTAGGGTGTAGAGTTTGGGGTTTAGAATTTAAGGTCTAGGGTTAGGGTTTAGGGTTCAGGGTTTAGAGTTTCGGGTTTAGGGCATAGAGTTTAGGGTTTAGGGGTCAGGGTTTAGGGTGCGTCATGTTCGTTGTTGAAACCATCCCATGAGGGATGGATCTGTCGACTGACCAACCATTCTGATATTACACACCAAAAAAGGCCTTGCGCAGGCAAGCTTCAAAGCCCTAAACCCTAAACCCTAAACCTTAAACCCTAAACCCTAATGTCTGGGGGTCGAAGGGGCCTGCTTTTAAAGGCGAGCTGCTGAACCCTTCGATGCATGCTAAGCACCCTTGGCTGGTATGCCTGCCCTGATCGTGACATCCAAG